TTCTCAGACGGATTATCGCCTCAATGTGCTTGAGAGGTATTTCTGGGCTGTGTCAAACTACGAAATGCACGAAGGGTTTCAATCCCCCCCCCCCCCCCTCTCTCCAAGCCCCTTTCTCCCCCAGCGGGACATTTTGATTTGAGAACGATTATACATCAGCATCCGAAAAGCTCAGCTGAGAATAAGCTGTGCTAGGTTACGCTGTCTTGGTAGCTTCTAGCCTCAAAATGAAAATTTTCCTTTGATCCACAAGGCCGACATCTGCCCTAATGGCGGATCACGGGACTTCAGGAAAAAATGATCAATGAGGATGTCTTTGGAAAAAAAGAAACGAAGACGCTTACGACACTCCAGACTGTTTCTGACCTTGCTCCTATGACACCAAAACAGTGTCCTCCGACACCAAGCAACGCATTTTTAAGACTGGTCTTAGCATCAGATTTCATATGATCACCTCACAATTAACAAAAAGCAGGAAGACTGACATGAGACCATCAGACGAAGGATGTCTCGTTTTTCTTGGAGCGAAGTTTTGTCATGAAATGTTGGTTTCACCCATAGACCTTTCATCTGGTCACTTCTTATAAAGTCTTAACATCGTGCCTAGGTATCCCTCGTTTTCACTTTCGCGTTGAGAGGAAGCTAGTATCATCAGTCGCTTTTTATTGATTTCTACAGGTGATAACGGCAAAATAGAAGCGCTTATAACATGGTGGAGAGTCATTCGCAACGGAAAGTCCATTTAAAAATTCCTTGTTGATGGCTTCAATGCCAAATTAGGAGCGGTCGGTAGAAATGGATACCTATGGGGAGATTCGGAATGAGTAAACAAAATGAGAGCGGATACTGTCATGTGAAACTTCTGCCCGCGCCACGTCACTATTATGGAATCTCATTTTATGAGAAAAGAAAAAATTAACCGATGGACATAAAATTACTTCGCGGTACGACTCATGTGTAGATTGCTCCGACACTCACTAACAAAAAATGGTGCTGCTTTGACACTTAATAGTTCACTGGACTTTGCACTAGCTCTGATCACCTCCTCTTACATTTGAAATCCGATTTAACCATAGAATGCAAAAGAAAGGCTGCCATCGTCCGTAAAGCAAATTATTTCGTATCCGGCAAGAAAATTTTCAATAAAATCTTTTCACATTCAAGGCAGATGAAGAAGGACCCGAAGGATCTACGAGCTGCTCGTCAGTTGATTCAAAACTTGTGCCAAAATGGCATCAATGTCACTGACAAGAACTCGGACCATATCTCCAGTATCACCAAGGAGCTGCTCAAATTCCATCTTCTCACAACACTACAAAATAGAATGACAATGAATTGCGTTTGTAGAAGATCTTTCAGATAAAATCTTATCAACTTTGGCAGAATCAATTTTGTGAGAGGCACTTCAAAAAGATCTAATCTGGAGAAGTGCCGCCGGGATCTTTGCATAAACTTCGTTCTGCTATCCGCCTTGATAAATGAAGTTAGGGCCATAACTGAATGCGCCATGATATGCAAATGCTAACTGAAAACTTTTATACCAAAACTTGTTGATCTACAATCACTCTCATATCTCTGTTTCCCTCCGGTAAGGAACTTCCGAGGCTCTAGCTTTTGAGGTTACAGTTGTGATTTGAGGCATGGAGAGAGGCACAGCTCCATGATCTAATGACATTGCTACTAAGAGCTGGTTGCCACAATCTACACGTTTTCAGCAAACCATATGACATCATACATTCACAGCATATCTCAGACAAGTGATAGATTTTGCACAATTACTTTAATCAAGCAAGGTGCGAAAGGTGAGTAAAAGAATGTTCTCAAATACCGTCCTCTTGCTAGAACGAACACTTTGGATGAGACATAACGAGTTGTGCGGAGTCAGGAGAGTATTAGTGATACTAATGGAAATGTCTACAGATGATATTTTGCTATTTGCTCTTTCTAGGTGACAAATGGGGATTAAGTGCAGTTGGCAGGTTGTTGTCCTGAATCGCTTCGATACTTCATAGCTACTAGAGTTTTCGCAAATGATCCGGAGATTGGAGCTGACATGATAGAAGTACGTGGAGTAGTCGTCTTTCGTTGTTTATTTTGCACTGTTTCTAGTACGTTACTGTAAATGTATTCTTAATGTTTAAGGTAGTGGAGACCTCTAAACGAGCATGCTCAGAATTACCAACTTTCCGTATGAGACGGAAATTTATGAGTTTTATGCAAGATGTACTAGTTGAGCTGATTGTAATTATTTGAACATCATGGATACGGGATTCAAATTCGCAAACTAGAAGCTGTCGCTCTTGTGATCACCTCATACAGCTTTATCGTTCGGTGCTTTCGTCTTCATCGAGCTGCGCGGCATTGGCAGGCCTCTGTTGCATGAAATGTCTGTTTGAAAGGTTCAGAATGTAGAACAAATTGCATTACAAAGAAATGATACGATTTGAGATTTTTCCTATATCTAGGATAAATGTGCTTATCTGAAAAAATATCTGCATTCATTCAGGACGACAAGATTTTCCAGCATGGTATCGATGGGAAAACCACAGTGACGAAAACAAAACATTATGCTGATAAATCATCTTAGTTGAATCGATATCACTTTTAATCCAGTAAAAAATTCGAGGATTTCATGTTTTTTCACTCATTAGCAACTCTTATGATTTAAGCAATGAGTCATTAGTAACAAAAAGAGTAGAATGTACCGCTGACGAGTTTAGAGAATTGCAAACCACTTTACTTTGACGATCGCAAACATACCCCACTTTTTACACGAAGAATTCAGACTATCGTGTTAGCCGACTTCCAACTTCGGAGTTGGTGGCTCGTTGAGAAACATTCGCAAGAATTAATTATTAGGATAGACTTTTCATACAAATCGGTGTTAATAACTAATATATGCACCTAGTGCCTAAATCAGGTCAGAAGATGACATGAAAAAGTCACCATCTGTCAAGTGATAGTAACACATTCAACCTTTCGGTTCTTTTTTAAATTTTCGGCGCTCGTTAGCGTTTGTCTGAACGCCTCAAGAGTTTTGCGTGCCAATATGCTCAACTCCTACGCCAGGATAGTGACAGCCACTCTGAAACCATTGCCATTGTGCACTTGTCCTCGATGTGTACCTGGAGGTGTACATTGTCAACTGTTGAAATTGCCACTTATAGATGTTCTCATATGCAGGCACAAAAAAGTCTTCTCGTTTCGCTAAAGTAACCATTCCTATATGACCGGCTTGTTTCGAATAGAATAAGCCAAAACTCGTGCATTTCCTTTCTTTCCCGTTTGTGCAGGTAATACAATTCTATGAGTGGCACAATTCATCGCAGAGGCATGAGAGTGTAGCAGCTTCCACAACGTAACCTTATATTTTGACGGCACTTTTTCAAGTGCATTACCTTTTCTTTCATCTTTTTGCAAGTAATAAGGTGCCTTCAAAAATATGTACCGAGCGGCTAAAAATGTGCCCATAAAAGAGGAGGAGAGAGAGAAGAATCGATAAAGTCAGAACAAAAAATAGCCGGTTCATTTCCGTTTGGTAGCACAGATTTTTAAGCCTACCTTCCACTCTTACCAAAAAATTTTCATAAAGAATGTTGGCAGTCATTCGAAAGCATAAATTGAAGACTATCCGGAGACATGACCGGCTTTTTGAAAACAGTTTCGTAACGCCGAAAAATTCAAATAAAGTTATGTTTCACATGCGCATTTTCTCGCCAAAAAGAGCTTTTTCTTGGTAAAATTTGGCTACTCCTAGTACCTAGAAAATACCGTTTCTTGGAAGGCAACAGGGAAAATGAGATTGGTTCACATGCGCGAGCAAGTGGCCCTTAGCCAAATCACGCGCCGCTAGGTGAGGCAGCAAGGTGGGCTGCTTCGATCGATTTTTCAGCATATGAACGTGTGAAGAAAATCTCTCAGTATCTGAATGTCTTCGAGTCACTACTGGAAGCGATTAGGGCATTCTTGCCTCCTGAATTCCACAAAGTGAAAATAATGACAATTCATTTACACGGATTTATGGCAAAATGAAAGTAATTGAAGTCTTTTTGTGGCAGAGTCATACGTTTCATCTGGAGTTTTCCTGGCAAACATAGAAGCAATACCTAACTGAATAACAAAGATTGCACTAGTATAAGACCGGTCAAAGAAAAAGTAGGGGTAGGCTTGAATATTCGTGCCAGCAAACGCGAAAGAACCATATAGCCATTCCCATTCGCTACGAAGCACAGCTATTCGGGTTAGTTGAAAAGCAGATTAGGGTGCGGAATAATATTTCTCATTTGAAAAAGATCTCTTATAGTCTGCCTTTTTTTTCAAACGAAGTGAGTAGCACTAATGTGAGGTGCCTGTAAACTTGAAATTTCTGTGGCAGTTGTTGAACTGCATCTCACACCCTGAGCCGTAAACTTGACCACAATCACCTCTTCCACTGAGAATGAATCGCAGATTATTTAAGATCAGGATTTAGGAGTTCGGATTAGTCAGCCTCAGGGGACCGGCTGCAGCGAGGGAGGGTGCTAAGGATGAGTCCCAATAGATCGAAACAGCCGCCTGAATAGCCCTAGACCTAACGCCTCAGTACTTCCTCAGCAGTCAAATACAAAAGTGAAATTTTGATTTTAGGGAAAACTTATCTCTGCAAAAACATAGATTATTTATATAATGAACAAACTTTTAGCTTAGAGAGTTCTCATGTCTGAGAATTCCATTTTTGAATTCAAAGGATGCATTCTTGGGCAAAGAACACACTTTCAACATTTATTGCACACTTTTATTGCCTTTCATACCAAAATGTTACTTGAAAACACAACCTTTGCAATGTTCTACTCCTAGAAAGAACTTACATGGAAAAAAAATTCAATATGTTCACGGAGCAAACGTTGATTGAGTTCACATTCATCAATCCATGGATTAGAGTTTTTTACTGATTACTTTTTCTTTTCAGCGTTGTGATTTCTCAAATGTATCTAAGTTGATTCAGTGTAGAGCAGAATCTCGACCTCAGACAGGAGTTGAACCTGCCTCTTACCCTCCCCAGGGTTCGCGTGTTACCATTGCACCACCAAGGCACAAAGACGCCTATTACCAACTCATATTTTCAGACCATATTAGTGTTGTAGAATGTGTTATACAACATATTTATTCAACATGCAGCTGCTTACACAATCAACATTGGAGCTAACCTTAGAAAAACCATTGCCGGTGAACAACTTACAATTAAGGTCACGAGTGATCATCAGTCTCATGAGAATCAAATCAAGCAAAGCAAAGAGTTTTGAGCAATCAAGAGTCAAGTAGTATGTCATAGAATAATCAGTTTATGCACTACATGTATACAACTCGAACAGTGTATAGAACGTTTTATGCTTATGATATCGAGCGAAGAAACTCCAAAATAATCAAGACCATGTAATGCAGCGATTTGTGCGATACATACATATCGATTTATGTAAAAAATATATACAATCTTCGTGTCAAGTTGCATGTTCACGTATTGTACGATCAGTGTGGAAGTATTCCAAGCATGCTTCTATTAGACATTCACTGCATTCTGAGTGCTCTATTTTACGCGACTTGACTTCTCATATTAACCGTGCGGCTTCAAGCACAACTTTTATTAAATTTGTTTTCTCGCATCTATAACCCACGTGCTTCTTCCGACCATCTATGTACGGACTCGGCTACTGAAAAGTTCAAATGTAATCCTAATGCTTATCCAACAGTTTTTTTCACATTCCTTAGATGCTACACTTCTCTAAGGAGACGAAGATCTTTATCATGACCACTTGGTTACATAAGCTCGTCTATCTTCAAGAGCAATGCAAACAGGAGCAATGAAACACCACAACAGTTTCCAAGCGCTTTGTTATCTTGTCGTCGCCGTTTATAGCAGTGATTGGAGTCTAGTGAGATGTGCACCACAGCCGACTCAAAGTTTCTTGCGGGATCCCTCAAATCATTGCGTTAGACTCGCCCTATCGGACTACAGTTAAACAAATGAACAAGTGAATAGTTCCTTTCATTATTATTTGAGCCAACATGTCATGTGGTCTGGTAAAGGCTCTTGTACAGTCCGAGACACGTGTTTCGTCCTTACAGACTCATCAGCCGGGCAGAACCCGTCGTCTGTCGATCTTTTCATAGTCAGTTCTCTTGGGAGCGTCACACTCCTCATATATAGTTATCGACGACCTACGTTTTACACTCTATGCCAGGTGTCTATGTCATTCACCTAACACAGAGTGTTTTCGCACTCGATTGCTTGTCATGTGGTCTGGTAAAGGCTCTTGTACAGCCCGAGACACGTGTTTCGTCCTTACAGACTCATCAGCCGGGCAGAACCCGTCGTCTGTCGATCTTTTCATAGTCAGTTCTCTTGGGACATGACATGACATGTTGGCTCAAATAATAATGAAAGGATCTATTGAAATTTGAGCGTGGTATTAATAAAGCACTCGAAGGAAAGGTATAATATGATAAAATACCAGCCAGCTAGCAATCGAGTGCGAAAACACTCTGTGTTAGGTGAATGACATAGACACATGGCATAGAGTGTAAAACGTAGGTCGTCGATAACTATATATGAGGAGTGTGACGCTCCCAAGAGAACTGACTATGAAAAGATCGACAGACGACGGGTTCTGCCCGGCTGATGAGTCTGTAAGGACGAAACACGTGTCTCGGGCTGTACAAGAGCCTTTACCAGACCACATGACATGTTGGCTCAAATAATAATGAAAGGATCTATTGAAATTTGAGCGTGGTCTTAATAAAGCACTCGAAGGAAAGGTATAAAGTGAATAGTGGCAAACAGATCGCTCATACTACACAGCTATAGCTTTGAGTCTAATCTATTAATCCGCGGTGATCCATACCTAACGTAAGCTCTGGTTACCGAGACCATGTATATTGTCGAAACATAAACAGGCATGTAACGTCACAGAATTAGGCGTTGTAATACGCAACAGCCAAGCAAATTAGGCGTTGTTAAGAAAGCATTAGTAACTCCCTCCCTTTACAACTATCAAGGTACCTTTAACTCGATATTTTAGCTTTTTGAGTAACAAATCAACCTTCGGTCCTGACTGAATGTCCACGCATCTTCTCCCGCTGATAATGTCGTGATGTATCAACAAGGAGGAAATGCCCACGCTTTCGCCTAATTGGCTTCTTATTCAAACTTCACAGTCGGTTTTCCTGGCAGTTACGCGGTGTAATATGGATTACTGCAGCATTTCACCGCCACGGAAAAATAGCATATTGCCTACTGAAAAGGTATACTATAAGAAAATTGAAATTTTTTTGAACTCTCAATGGACATTCTTGTCGCCTGTCTTGTGAGAGGCAATCGCCTTTCCTAGTCACAAGTCGTACTATGGAAATAGATTGTCTGTTTTACAATCGACTCTCAAATGTCGGTAATGTACAGCTCGTAGAATTTCATCATATTTTATGCACCGGAGCCTTAGCTTCCCTGAGAGTTTCCACCGTCATGTGAGAGTAGGGTAGCTGTCTGGGAGGTGGCTCTATCTTCGAACACTTATCAATTTTTTCTTCGTCGGTGTTCTGTTGGTGAAAATTTGGCCTGATACAATAAAATGTTGCTTGAACTTCAAAATACTAATTTTTCTGGGCTTTATACGGTCAAATTAGCTCGTATTTTCTCAGCCGACCACTTCCGAAAGCGCACATCCGTAGACAGTGAGTGAATGCCAAGTGACAACAATGTACAAAGGAGAAATATGCAGCATTTATTAGCTTTACTAAAACACCTGTGCTTCTTTGTGCACAGTTTTTCTGAAATTAAGAATATTGAACTCCTTTTCGCATATGCGAGTCATAAATAATTTCTAGAAAGCAACAAAGTCTATATATCCATGCGGTGACAAAGGAGGAAAGTGCCCATGAGAAGTTAGTTGAGCGGACCAGCTCTGTGATAAATTGGTGGGCGGCCATAACCTCATGCACGTGGTCACACTGAAGTCATTTTGAGAGTTGGAGCTTGACGGAAGGGCAGAGTATCGTCTTGTGGTCAGAAATGGAACAGGCAAAATCAGTGTACATGACCAGTGGCAAAGATTGCGGCGACAAATGTTTGTGGCGAAGTACATGTGGATATATAGAACACGACGGCCCATAAAACAATAAAAAAGCCTGCTCGGTGAATTACACAGGTACCAACTCGTTAAGTAACTAAAATATATGAACGATAAAGCTCTCGGCATTGATCAATCCCCAAGTGATGCAACACGCAATAATTTTCACTTTTTTCCTTTTTGAGGTGACTGAATGCATATCTGGTATTTACAATGACTCAAGATAGCTGTCCGCTGTATCGAGTCACTGTCGCTTATCCTCCTAAACATGTCTGCGACCAGTCCAATATCAAATCCAAAAAAAAGAATGTTTTTAGCCTAAAACGAGGTTGGTACGACAGGGCCATACACCGGTGTTTCGGAGGCTCGTCCTCCTCGTCAGTGACCCCAGCCCCACATTAAGCCCTGCATTGTAGCAAGGAGGGAGGCGTATGTAGTAAGTGGTGATGGCATAGTGTACAATGACACTGGTCCATCACCATCAGTCGATGTTTCGGCTGGTAGACCAAAACTAACTTAATGTGGGATGGGGGTCACTGACGAGGAGGACGAGCCTCCGAAACACCGGTGTAAGGCCCTGGCGTACCAACCTCGTTTTAGGCTAAAAACATTCTTTTTTTTGGATTTGATTTTGAATGTTCATAACGAGGTTTTAGAAACAGTCGATTCAATGGATTAGTCCAATATCAGTGCACCGACCCAGGAGGGATGGATGGCTTGGTGAGCCATGAGAACGAGATCAGGCCATTGACCTTGTGTGCCACGAACACCATCTCGAACCACTGCGTCACACGTGAAGTACACTGATAATCCAAAAATTATCGAGAGTTGTCGGCGAACTTGAATCGCTTGGTATGCATCATCAGTTCTGACCGGCTATCCTTAATTTCTTGATTTTTAGTTGCCGTGATAACTATTTGGTATTGCGTATAAGCAAAGTTATCAAGAGATAAAAATATTCTTTTCCTAAAAAGTTGCTATATGACTTAGCATAATGAGTAAATCCCAAAGACAAAGTGATTGCATAGTGATGTAGCATTTTTCTTCACACATGAGAGCTATGAATGGTCGAAAACATATAAGCATGTAAAGTAAATCCCAAAAATTTAAAAGTACAGAAAGAAATTTAGATATTCGAAATCCAGGAAGAAATCCCCTCCAGGCAACAAAAATCGCTCCCAGCAGTGCGACTGGCGCAGCGCGCAACGATTTCTACTGCTGTTTCGAACGGGTTCAGATAACACTTTATAGAATATCGTCCCTGTTTGGCAAATGTAGATTTTGTTTACTTTTAGAAAGTTTCTTACCTTGTGCCAGATCGACAGTCGCAATCCACTCAATGTGACCTTCTTTTCGGATATTGATGTTGGGTCGTGGTGACCAGGCCCTTCGAAAGCGATCTGTATATGCATCACAATAATATACAGATTATAATCATTAAGTGTTTCACTCATCTTTCACTTTACTTCGTTTAACTCTTCAAAATCGCATGGTTCTCCAACATCTGATTCAAATGGTGGCAAGTCCGCATAAAGACTAACTGGCATCATAATGTACGTTGGTATATTTGTAACAAATTGTTCATGAACGGACTTTATGAGGTTTTCCATGTAATCCGATTAACAAGAACAACTGGGATCAAATTTAAAGCTACTGAGGACACTGAAGAGTTTGTTAGAACAAGTATAGCCAAGTTGTATACCGATTGTTCGCAAGAAAATGCGCAATTAAACAACTCCAAAATCATGCAGATTTAACCACCTCCGGTTAATAAATTTGATGTTCAATGCTCCAATGTTCAAATTTATGAAGCGTCCTAATAAGAACTATTTTTGCTCCATACTTGAATGTGACAATTCTTTTGATATTTTCATAAGTGATTTTAACGTAATAATAGCCAATCCATTGTTTATCTGCTATATTATTTACTGAGTGATGAGCAAAAATTCGACCTCAGACGTGAGGTGAACCCG